ATAAGAATGTTAAAAAGATCTAATGACGTGGTGAGTACGTATAGAAGAACTCAAGGATAAGTGCATCAGTGACAAGTGTATAAGATGTATAAAGTCAGAGCTTATGAGTTTGAAACGAAGTGATAGTATTGCGCATAAACAAGAGCAGGTTTCTGATAAGGGTTTGCAGTTAAGATGGAAAGAGTTAGCATTGGCTAACTAGAGTATGTGATAAAAATGTACTGGAATTATAAGATTATAAGATATTGTCAGGATATGATAACCAGATCTGCAATGGATCTGGATACAGTTGCATATTTGGATCATAGTAATGTGGTATAGTAAAGGAAAAGGAAGTAAGAATTTGTATATTTAAGTAAAGCTGAGGATTGATAAGAAGAGTTTGAGAATATGTATATCGATGATCAGATTATAGGACACAGGAAGTCAGAATATTGAGTTTGAGTAAAAGAAATTTCAGGATGTATGAGAATAGAGGTTAAATTGATAAGTTGAGTAAACGAATGTTGAGATAATTTAGATTGGAAAGGATGTATATGACTGGTATAATAGGGCTTGTGCCCTAGATTGAACAAAAGTTATTATCTAGCTGTCAGAGTAAAGGTGCTAGAGTTATAAGATTGGAGGAAAGATAAAGTGGAGTTAATTGATTATGATGTGAATTCGAATATAGTTGTATATTCTGAGCAGATAGCTATGATGTAGAAACAGAGATAAGTATTTGCATGGAACCTTCAGGAAGGAAAATACAAGTATAAGAAATGATAAAGAATGAAGTTATGTATAAGAAATGGGTTATCAGAGTAATGAGGATGCAATGAAGATTGGTACATAAAGATGAGTATAAGTGATAAGACAAGAGTATGTGAACATGAAAGGAAATATATGATTTATGTATAAGGAAGAAGGAATAAAGAAATGAAAGGGATTGATTTAAAAGAATCAGATACGATAAATATGGAAGTACCGAGGACAATTTTGATATAGAAATAAGACAAGTGTGCAAGGTGATGTGAAAATATTGTTTGACTCTTTAAAGTATATGTTTAATCACATTGAAGAAGATTTAAAGTTGTGTTTGGTCAAATGATGACGAAATACAAGTTTGGTATGGTTATAAGGTAATTAGAAAGTTATGAAGAAATAGATGGATTTATGATATAGAGATGGATATTACTATCAACATAATGAGTGACATTATATTGAATTTTAGAAAGGTCAAAGGAAAGATGCATAATCGAATGAGAGAAAAGACAACAATGGATTGGTATTACTGGTTATTGTTGATATGATAAGCAACAGAAGAGGAATATATAAACGAAAAAGATAGTCGGGAAAACTAAAGGATTGAAAAGTAAGTTTCTGATGATGACAAGAAAGAATAAGCCAGGGAAGCAACATAAGAACATTAGAAGATATGTTCTTATTAAGATGTACAGTGAAAATTCGAGGACGAATTTTCTTAAAAAGGAGGGGAGATTTGTAACATCCGCAATACCGGGTTAGTGACCAAATTGAAAAGTTTCAGAATTTGGTGACTAAAGTAGAAGAATGAAAGAATTCAATGATTATTTGAATATATATTGAAGGTTATTTGGTAATTATTAAAGGAAATTAAGGGTATTATGGTCATTTGACCAGAAAGATTTTTATAATTTTTTTAAGGTAATATAAACGTGGGAAATTTGAGAGCATCCAGAGTTCTCTGCTCATTTCTTCTTCTTCATACGTGGGAGAGCAAGGCAAAGGTAAGTTTAATTTCAGTTGGTTAATTCTTAAGTTTTAAGCTTAGTTTTGATTCTTTGGGTATTAAATAAGCTTAAGGAAAGCTTATATGGGATTTAAACAATAAGATAAAGGAATTATGAAGGAATTTGCAATATGAGTTTTAAGATGAAATTTTGATATGGTATGGTTGTTGAAGTTTTATGGATGAATTTGACTTGTCATCAATCTAATTAAGAAGTATGAAGTGTTAGAATTGGAATTAGAACACATTAAAAATTTGGTATGATTTTTGAATCTCATATGGAAGATAGGATTTTGAGGTTTAAGATGAAATAAATGAATATAGATTGGTTTAAGTATGTGTACTAGAGTTAAGAATGAAAAGGGGATGATATATGAAGTGTTTGAGTGGAAATGAAGTAATTTTCGGGTTGAAAATATGATTTCTGGGCAAGGGGAATCGGTACCCATTCAAGGGGAACCGATACCTCTTCAAACGAACAACATTTCCATAATGTCATTAGGGAATCAGTACCCCCATAGTAGGGAACCGATTCCCCCTAAAGGAAATTGTGAATATGGATTTAATAAGTTCGTTTAAGTTGCTAGTATCCAATTACGAGGTGTAGGTATCTAATGATTGTCTCGAAATGTACATTTATGTAGATTCTACGCATAAAGCAATTCCGGAACGTTTGGCAAGTAAGATCGATCAAGGGAAAGATAAGAGATTGGAATTGACTAGTGAGGCTAGGTGAGTGCATATTCAATAGTATATGATGTGCGATGGGAATAAGACTTGCGATGAGTCTATTTCCTAAAGTGTTACACATGAATTCATGATTAAAGGCATGAGTGGAATATGCATGTATGTATGTTTGATTATATGGATTGATCTGTTCTTTTATGTGTTAGATGATAAAGTATAAGTAATTACATAAGAAAGGTTATGAATTATATGAGATATAAACTATGTGATCATAGTAAAATATAATTATATTATTATATGATAAGTGAAATAAGCTGGATAATATTGATCTATAGGATGAAGTGAGAATAGTACACTAACTAGGAGATTTGAACATAAATGATAAGATGAACATATAAGATAAGCTAGATGGGAAAGATTCATATGTTTAAATAAAACTATAACACATGAGTTATATGAATACATAATTATGTGATGAAATGGTGGATTACCTGAACATGTGAATATATAGGTCTAAGAGAAGGCATAAGATTAAGATATAAGCAATGTGACTATAAGTATATGTGCTCTAAGTGATATGACTTATAGGTTTTATTATAATGTTACATAATATGTTATGTATGTTAAATGAATTATGTGATGGTATAAGAAATGATATGAAATATATATATGTGAAAACAAGTATATGTTATGAGATAAGATTTATGACTATAAGCTACGTGAAAGTGTTCTAGGTGTTTCGATATTATATGAAGTATATGATCTTATGTGAACAAGATATGATAAGTATGTTTACATGAATAAAGGTGATTGGGTGAGAAATGATAGAAATTATATGAAAATATGACATATGTGACATGTGAATTATATGGAAATGATCTACGTGTAAGTGAACTACGTGACTATGTGATCATATGAAAAGAAGTTATGTGATACGTGATATGTGAAAGTGAATTACAAGTTTATGTGAATATTTGAAATGAAATAAATGATAACGCCCATGTTATGTGTCATGAGAGCTAGGGGTATAGTTGGCATGCCAAGAGTCGAGGGTCTACGCGGTCCTTCGGGACATATGTATATTCTTTGGAACATGTGTGAAGTCTGGAAAGACACATACTTGATCCCTAGCATATGTATATGATTCTTAAGGAATTCTATGTGGTCCTTATGGACATCATTATATGGCACTACGGTGCAATTCTACGCGGTCCTTCGGGACATATGTATATTCTTTGGAACATGTGTGAAGTCTGGAAAGACACATACTTGATCCCTAGTATATGTATATGATTCTTAAGGAATTCTATGTGGTCCTTATGGACATCATTATATGGCACTACGGTGCAATTCTACGCGGCACTTCGGTGCAATTATACGAGCTGTGGTGACAGCATTAGTGCACAACCTCTATAGACTCACATATCGATAGTTCTCACATATGTACATGGGCTAATCCAGAGATATGAACAAATATAAGTTAGTGATATGATAAATGCTATAGAAATAATATGATGTTGTGTGTGTATAGTGTTTGATTGAAAAAGTATGTGATTATATGATAAACTGTTAATGATGAATTATGTGTATGTATGTATTTACTGCAATTAATCTGATATGATTTTATACGATATGAAAAATGCATGGAATTGCTATAACATGATAGAACAGAACATGCATGTATCAATATATGTTTTAAAGTGCATTATAAGTTGTTATGCCTCACTAAGTCTTCGACTTAGCGTGTGATTGTTTCACACGTAGGTTTCGAGAAGAGTAAGGAGTGATGCGGAGCAAGACAGGTCAGTTTTCCTTACCAAAAGATCATATCAGAAATATTTGACAAAGTATGTATTTGGTTATGTATAAAGTGTTGGCATGTAATAAGTCATTAAGTACGAGCACTCTGATAAAGTATGTATTTTGTTTTAAATAAAGTTTTAAATTTCCCGGGATTTTTCTTTAGAGTCAAGGTTTGAAAAGTCAATGTGACACTTCAGACTCGTATCCGGGTCGGATACGGGTTGGGGGTGTTACATTTAATGGTATCAGAGCTATGGTTTAGCCGATTCTCGGCATAAACCGAAGTCCAAAATGTCATAAAAGGTGTACATGCCAACATAGATTGAAAAATTTCTGATCTGATAGTGTAAGGAATACGTTGTCTTGCTAATAAAATAAGAATAGTTTAATACAGTAGAAATCCGATCGTGATAATTTCGAAGTAAGTGAAAGGTGATATTCCTGATTGTGATAACTATTCACCTGCCCTGGCCAGGTAGGATGAAGAGCGGACACCTCAGGAAATGCCTAGTAAGATCAAAAGTTGATTTCAGAAAGCTGAAATCATATCTGAATAATAATAGAAAATTTTCATCGTTTGGAATCGGAAAAGCGATGTAGAGTAGTTTTGCTATTATGTGGATAAGATAGAATATGGTGAATAGATGTCACCATAAGAATGTTAAAAAGATCTAATGACGTGGTGAGTACGTATAGAAGAACTCAAGGATAAGTGCATCAGTGACAAGTGTATAAGATGTATAAAGTCAGAGCTTATGAGTTTGAAACGAAGTGATAGTATTGCGCATAAACAAGAGCAGGTTTCTGATAAGGGTTTGCAGTTAAGATGGAAAGAGTTAGCATTGGCTAACTAGAGTATGTGATAAAAATGTACTGGAATTATAAGATTATAAGATATTGTCAGGATATGATAACCAGATCTGCAATGGATCTGGATACAGTTGCATATTTGGATCATAGTAATGTGGTATAGTAAAGGAAAAGGAAGTAAGAATTTGTATATTTAAGTAAAGCTGAGGATTGATAAGAAGAGTTTGAGAATATGTATATCGATGATCAGATTATAGGACACAGGAAGTCAGAATATTGAGTTTGAGTAAAATAAATTTCAGGATGTATGAGAATAGAGGTTAAATTGATAAGTTGAGTAAACGAATGTTGAGATAATTTAGATTGGAAAGGATGTATATGACTGGTATAATAGGGCTTGTGCCCTAGATTGAACAAAAGTTATTATTTAGCTGTCAGAGTAAAGGTGCTAGAGTTATAAGATTGGAGGAAAGATAAAGTGGAGTTAATTGATTATGATGTGAATTCGAATATAGTTGTATATTCTGAGCAGATAGCTATGATGTAGAAACAGAGATAAGTATTTGCATGGAACCTTCAGGAAGGAAAATACAAGTATAAGAAATGATAAAGAATGAAGTTATGTATAAGAAATGGGTTATCAGAGTAATGAGGATGCAATGAAGATTGGTACATAAAGATGAGTATAAGTGATAAGACAAGAGTATGTGAACATGAAAGGAAATATGATTTATGTATAAGGAAGAAGGAATAAAGAAATGAAAGGGATTGATTTAAAAGAATCAGATACGATAAATATGGAAGTACCGAGGACAATTTTGATATAGAAATAAGACAAGTGTGCAAGGTGATGTGAAAATATTGTTTGACTCTTTAAAGTATATGTTTAATCACATTGAAGAAGATTTAAAGTTGTGTTTGGTCAAATGATGACGAAATACAAGTTTGGTATGGTTATAAGGTAATTAGAAAGTTATGAAGAAATAGATGGATTTATGATATAGAGATGGATATTACTATCAACATAATGAGTGACATTATATTGAATTTTAGAAAGGTCAAAGGAAAGATGCATAATCGAATGAGAGAAAAGACAACAATGGATTGTTATTACTGGTTATTGTTGATATGATAAGCAACAGAAGAGGAATATATAAACGAAAAAGATAGTCGGGAAAACTAAAGGATTGAAAAGTAAGTTTCTGATGATGACAAGAAAGAATAAGCCAGGGAAGCAACATAAGAACATTAGAAGATATGTTCTTATTAAGATGTACAGTGAAAATTCGAGGACGAATTTTCTTAAAAAGGAGGGGAGATTTGTAACATCCGCAATACCGGGTTAGTGACCAAATTGAAAAGTTTCAGAATTTGGTGACTAAAGTAGAAGAATGAAAGAATTCAATGATTATTTGAATATATATTGAAGGTTATTTGGTAATTATTAAAGGAAATTAAGGGTATTATGGTCATTTGACCAGAAAGATTTTTATAATTTTTTTAAGGTAATATAAACGTGGGAAATTTGAGAGCATCCAGAGTTCTCTGCTCATTTCTTCTTCTTCATACGTGGGAGAGCAAGGCAAAGGTAAGTTTAATTTCAGTTGGTTAATTCTTAAGTTTTAAGCTTAGTTTTGATTCTTTGGGTATTAAATAAGCTTAAGGAAAGCTTATATGGGATTTAAACAATAAGATAAAGGAATTATGAAGGAATTTGCAATATGAGTTTTAAGATGAAATTTTGATATGGTATGGTTGTTGAAGTTTTATGGATGAATTTGACTTGTCATCAATCTAATTAAGAAGTATGAAGTGTTAGAATTGGAATTAGAACACATTAAAAATTTGGTATGATTTTTGAATCTCATATGGAAGATAGGATTTTGAGGTTTAAGATGAAATAAATGAATATAGATTGGTTTAAGTATGTGTACTAGAGTTAAGAATGATGATATATGAAGTTTGAGTGGAAATGAAGTAATTTTCGGGTTGAAAATATGATTTCTGGGCAAGGGGAATCGGTACCCATTCAAGGGGAACCGATACCTCTTCAAACGAACAACATTTCCATAATGTCATTAGGGAATCAGTACCCCCATAGTAGGGAACCGATTCCCCCTAAAGGAAATTGTGAATATGGATTTAATAAGTTCGTTTAAGTTGCTAGTATCCAATTACGAGGTGTAGGTATCTAATGATTGTCTCGAAATGTACATTTATGTAGATTCTACGCATAAAGCAATTCCGGAACGTTTGGCAAGTAAGATCGATCAAGGGAAAGATAAGAGATTGGAATTGACTAGTGAGGCTAGGTGAGTGCATATTCAATAGTATATGATGTGCGATGGGAATAAGACTTGCGATGAGTCTATTTCCTAAAGTGTTACACATGAATTCATGATTAAAGGCATGAGTGGAATATGCATGTATGTATGTTTGATTATATGGATTGATCTGTTCTTTTATGTGTTAGATGATAAAGTATAAGTAATTACATAAGAAAGGTTATGAATTATATGAGATATAAACTATGTGATCATAGTAAAATATAATTATATTATTATATGATAAGTGAAATAAGCTGGATAATATTGATCTATAGGATGAAGTGAGAATAGTACACTAACTAGGAGATTTGAACATAAATGATAAGATGAACATATAAGATAAGCTAGATGGGAAAGATTCATATGTTTAAATAAAACTATAACACATGAGTTATATGAATACATAATTATGTGATGAAATGGTGGATTACCTGAACATGTGAATATATATAGGTCTAAGAGAAGGCATAAGATTAAGATATAAGCAATGTGACTATAAGTATATATGTGCTCTAAGTGATATGACTTATAGGTATTTCTATTATAATGTTACATAATATGTTATGTATGTTAAATGAATTATGTGATGGTATAAGAAATGATATGAAATATATATATGTGAAAACAAGTATATGTTATGAGATAAGATTTATGACTATAAGCTACGTGAAAGTGTTCTAGGTGTTTCGATATATTATATGAAGTATATGATCTTATGTGAACAAGATATGATAAGTATGTTTACATGAATAAAGGTGATTGGGTGAGAAATGATAGAAATTATATGAAAACATGACATATGTGACATGTGAATTATATGGAAATGATCTACGTGTAAGTGAACTACGTGACTATGTGATAATATGAAAAGAAGCTATGTGATACGTGATATGTGAAAGTGAATTACAAGTTTATGTGAATATTTGAAATGAAATAAATGATAACGCCCATGTTATGTGTCATGAGAGCTAGGGGTATAGTTGGCATGCCAAGAGTCGAGGGTCTACGCGGTCCTTCGGGACATATGTATATTCTTTGGAACATGTGTGAAGTCTGGAAAGACACATACTTGATCCCTAGCATATGTATATGATTCTTAAGGAATTCTATGTGGTCCTTATGGACATCATTATATGGCACTACGGTGCAATTCTACGCGGTCCTTCGGGACATATGTATATTCTTTGGAACATGTGTGAAGTCTGGAAAGACACATACTTGATCCCTAGTATATGTATATGATTCTTAAGGAATTCTATGTGGTCCTTATGGACATCATTATATGGCACTACGATGCAATTCTACGCGGCACTTCGGTGCAATTATACGAGCTGTGGTGACAGCATTAGTGCACACCTCTATAGACTCACATATCGATAGTTCTCACATATGTACATGGGCTAATCCAGAGATATGAACAAATATAAGTTAGTGATATGATAAATGCTATAGAAATAATATGATGTTGTGTGTGTATAGTGTTTGATTGAAAAAGTATGTGATTATATGATAAACTGTTAATGATGAATTATGTGTATGTATGTATTTACTGCAATTAATCTGATATGATTTTATACGATATGAAAAATGCATGGAATTGCTATAACATGATAGAACAGAACATGCATGTATCAATATATGTTTTAAAGTGCATTATAAGTTGTTATGCCTCACTAAGTCTTCGACTTAGCGTGTGATTGTTTCACACGTAGGTTTCGAGAAGAGTAAGGAGTGATGCGGAGCAAGACAGGTCAGTTTTCCTTACCAAAAGATCATATCAGAAATATTTGACAAAGTATGTATTTGGTTATGTATAAAGTGTTGGAAGATAGGATTTTGAGGTTTAAGATGAAATAAATGAATATAGATTGGTTTAAGTATGTGTACTAGAGTTAAGAATGAAAAGGGGATGATATATGAAGTGTTTGAGTGGAAATGAAGTAATTTTCGGGTTGAAAATATGATTTCTGGGCAAGGGGAATCGGTACCCATTCAAGGGGAACCGATACCCCTTCAAACGAACAACATTTCCATAATGTCATTAGGGAATCGGTACCCCCATAGTAGGGAACCGATTCCCCCTAAAGGAAATTGTGAATATGGATTTAATAAGTTCGTTTAAGTTGCTAGTATCCAATTACGAGGTGTAGGTATCTAATGATTGTCTCGAAATGTACATTTATGTAGATTCTACGCATAAAGCAATTCCGGAACGTTTGGCAAGTAAGATCGATCAAGGGAAAGATAAGAGATTGGAATTGACTAGTGATGCCAGGTGAGTGCATATTCAATAGTATATGATGTGCGATGGGAATAAGACTTGCGATGAGTCTATTTCCTAAAGTGTTACACATGAATTCATGATTAAAGGCATGAGTGGAATATGCATGTATGTATGTTTGATTATATGGATTGATCTGTTCTTTTATGTGTTAGATGATAAAGTATAAGTAATTACATAAGAAAGGTTATGAATTATATGAGATATAAACTATGTGATCATAGTAAAATATAATTATATTATTATATGATAAGTGAAATAAGCTGGATAATATTGATCTATAGGATGAAGTGAGAATAGTACACTAACTAGGAGATTTGAACATAAATGATAAGATGAACATATAAGATAAGCTAGATGGGAAAGATTCATATGTTTAAATAAAACTATAACACATGAGTTATATGAATACATAATTATGTGATGAAATGGTGGATTACCTGAACATGTGAATATATAGGTCTAAGAGAAGGCATAAGATTAAGATATAAGCAATGCGACTATAAGTATATATGTGCTCTAAGTGATATGACTTATATGTATTTCTATTATAATGTTACATAATATGTTATGTATGTTAAATGAATTATGTGATGGTATAAGAAATGATATGAAATATATATATGTGAAAACAAGTATATGTTATGAGATAAGATTTATGACTATAAGCTACGTGAAAGTGTTCTAGGTGTTTCGATATATTATATGAAGTATATGATCTTATGTGAACAAGATATGATAAGTATGTTTACATGAATAAAGGTGATTGGGTGAGAAATGATAGAAATTATATGAAAACATGACATATGTGACATGTGAATTATATGGAAATGATCTACGTGTAAGTGAACTACGTGACTATGTGTTCATATGAAAAGAAGCTATGTGATACGTGATATGTGAAAGTGAATTACAAGTTTATGTGAATATTTGAAATGAAATAAATGATAACGCCCATGTTATGTGTCATGAGAGCTAGGGGTATAGTTGGCATGCCAAGAGTCGAGGGTCTACGCGGTCCTTCGGGACATATGTATATTCTTTGGAACATGTGTGAAGTCTGGAAAGACACATACTTGATCCCTAGCATATGTATATGATTCTTAAGGAATTCTATGTGGTCCTTATGGATATCATTATATGGCACTACGGTGCAATTCTACGCGGTCATTCGGGACATATGTATATTCTTTGGAACATGTGTGAAGTCTGGAAAGACACATACTTGATCCCTAGTATATGTATATGATTCTTAAGGAATTCTATGTGGTCCTTATGGACATCATTATATGGCACTACGGTGCAATTCTACGCGGCACTTCGGTGCAATTATACGAGCTGTGGTGACAGCATTAGTGCACAAC